AGGGCGCTCTCGTCTGTGTTATTCGTATCGCTACAGGACTCTCGTGATGTGTGTATTGTATCTGTACAGGGCGCTCTCGTCTGTGTTATTGATATTGTACAGGACTCTCGTGTGTGTTATCGTAATCTTACAGAAGCTGTCACAGACGAGCGACTCTCCGTCCGATGCAGGTGTTGTCGTCTACTGTCCTTGCTTAGTGTCGTGCGATGTCGTGCTGTCCTCGTCGGACGGGGACCGCGTAATAATGTCAAGCCGAATGACGTCACTGACCCGAAGCAAATTTAATGACACCGCTGCGAAAGCAACAAATCGCTTAATAGATGGGTTTATCGCAGGATCACAGTAGCACAACTGATATAAGCTGATATAGCCCATTAAACGTTTTCAGTAATGTAAGGATATATTCAAACAGTATCCAATTGAATAGAATAGGTTCGCGTAATACCTGTCGTATCTCGATTCCATCCTCGTTCTCCTTTCTCTGTATGCTAAATCCAAAACCAACTGTCGCCTTACTGAGCACGACTTCAAATCTCTTCCCTGGCGTAATAACGGCTTTGTAAGAACAACGCTGGTTTAGGAGATCGCAAACAGTTTCCCAGCGTTAGCCTGCGCAACTACTGTGTCTAATGCACGAGAATAGGTTATATAGCAAATCAGATCATAGCAGATTATATAGCAGATCATCGTAAATCATTGGATTAATATATTTTTGTGATTGTGCGCAGAATCACAGATTCTTAATGTAATGATGATGTTCATATATATATATATATATATATATTTATATATATGCAATATATATATATGTATATATTGCATATAATAGTATACTTATCACACGTGTGCACGCACGCACGCGAAAAGGCACGCACGCACGCCTATGCAAGCGCAAACACGACACATAAACCATGAGTTCATAATAGGCCAATACCCTTCGAATAAATATTTACTAAAGCCTTTGTATGTTCGGCTCGAAAGTACTGTTTGTGTGCGAAACACGACGCGCTGTGTGCACAACGCAATGCGCTCTCACGTTTAGCCCTTCCGAGCGGATTTCCGTTCGTGTGGCGATGCAGTAGCATCCGGACGGTGTGTCCAGCTCCGTTCAATGTCCGCACGACGGCCCTGTGGTCAGCTCCGGCGACGTTCACACCGTCCACTTCGATGAGTTTGTCGCCTGAGGAATATACCGACGACACAAGAAACGACGTCAGCTAGAGCGAACGGTTGTAGGCCTACTCTCTCCTTGCGCAGATAACAAACACTTCTATGTACGTCCGTTTCTGCGCCATAGATATCTTATCATAAAATCATAAAAGTTAAAATCACGTTTCAAGTTATATATTGCCAGCAATGTTTTTTTAAAGGTGCATGAGGAAAATGTAGTTGTGTAATCGCTCAAGACGCCGCAAATTGTCCATGGTTAGCACCTTTGCTGCTCATAGTAAGATTAGTCAGTCGGCTGTTAACAATTAACAACGCCAACACTATTTTTAATAACACTAAACAAACTTTATCTAGTAAGAATTGGATGATATAGTTAGCGTTCTTAGCGCTTGCTTTCTCGTATTTCTTTTGTAAATATATTCCACACAAAAAGGTCGTATATTTTATTTGGGTTATTTTAATTAACTGGACTAATTACTGGTAAATTACTGGACTAAAAATAATTTGTGCTTGTTATGAATACGATGTCCGGCATACTACAGTAGTACCACTGTACCAAAGTGCGGAGTGCATATACGTAATTTTCATAACTGGGCAAAAATGAATGACCAAAATCTTACATATTTTTACTGTACGTGACTAACCTATGTAAGACTATTTTATCAAGCTCAATAAATTATTTCGTGTGGAAAGCATATACTTACTGCTTATACTTACTGCTTATTGCAAAAACATTTTTAGATTTACGCGAATGTGCGTGTGTGCGCGCGCGTAAGTGCGTTCGTGTGTGTGTGTGTGTGTGATGCCTCTCCCTCTCTTTCTCTGTCTCCCTCGCTCCCGGCCTCTCTCTCGGTCGCTTACTTTCTTTCCCTGCTTCTATTCCGTGCGCTATCATTCCACCAGTCTCTGTCACCTCTTAAGTGACAAACTGATTCGCAGACAGAAGCATGGATGGCACGTTAGCAAGACGATCTTGCTGACGATGCGATTCGTGCGCCATTTTAATTCAGCCATTTCGCTCACCACTCGCCATACGCCCACCAACCCCCATTCGCGCTCCTCATACGCGCGGATTTCGTTAGTGATTCACTTCACTATAGCTATAGCAGCATTAGATGAAGCATAGAGTATTGCGTACACACACCGGGGCATCAAGCTCTCACCCATACGTACAGCGTGGCTGAATCCTCGCAGCCTCTGTCTATTCACTGCAAGAAGCTCGTCGCCTGGCTGCAGCTGCATGCATCTGTCAGCCGGAGTACCGGGGAACACCTGTCGCGCGTTAAACAGAAAACAACAACACGGAAAAAAATAAATCTTGCCACGAGCCATTAGCATTTGATGGTAACAGCATGCCCGTGTAG